TTAACTATTTTATTTAGAATGTAAAATTACTGTTGTATAAAATTACCATCATATAAAATTATTGTTGTGTAAAATTACCGTTGTCTACTGTTTTTATTTTAATTATTTTATTCATAAATAATATCCCATTTTGGCGTAATTCTTTATAAGAGTCAGTACCATCTCTACATAGTTTTCAGCTTTGATTGCCTAGGAAGCCCCGAACAACTGCAATGAAAGTGCTCCAAACTGCTTTGTCCGTCCTGTTCAACAGCTCTGCAAAATCCTCACATTCTATGATCTTCTTGATCTGTGGTCTAACAAATATACCAGCCCTGACCTTAGTCTTGGACAGCTTTAGAAAAAGATCTTGGAGGTATTAAAATGCTCCTGGTTCCTTGTCAAGGGCAGTGACAAATTAGTTTATGAGGCCTAACCTGATGTGCAGCAGTGGCATAAACATTAGATGAGGTTCTATCAGTGGCTCCCACTTCACATTGGTCTTCACAACAGAAAACTTAGTCCGTTGTGGTCAATCCTTTGTGTGATAATGCACCTAAGTCATGGCTGCCCCAGAGACAAAGGAAACTTTCGCAAAACCTAATTGTTGACCCATGATTCCATTTTGAAGTCACAAATGACCTCCCATCCAAAGTTGTCATAGTTTAATGCACTCAGCAACATTTTGACACTGGTTTAGTCCTCTTTGAGATGCACAGAGTGGGCCATTAAGAGAGATGAGTCGTTGTTTCCATTTTGACGCATTACACTTTGAGGCTCTGGGATGAATTGTCTAAGAATAGGCACCATTCAATAAAACTACATGCGATACCTAGAGCCTAGAATAGACTGGCAATATTGTTGTAGAAGCACAGCCCATCACACTGACTGATAAAGTTGGAGAATCTTTGATGCCACTTCCTCTGATCTGTGACTTGTGCGCTATCATCAACCAAGGTCAGGATATCAGAAGCTTAACATTCAATTTTGTAAGCCCAAGGTCCCTAATTAAATTGCTCATGTCTTTCTGGTAGAGTTGTAGTCTATATCTTAGTATCTGCCTCGCTATCTGACTTGCTGCTGTCAACTGAAGATGACCAATGCTGCCTAGGAGGAGTTGGAACTGGCAGATTGGGGCTGTGTGGTACTGGGGTGATGGAAGAATGTATGTCTGGATAAACAATCTGAGGGACATTTTTGCCGGTACAATGATTTTTTGGGTTTACCATGCAGAAGTAGCAGTTGCTTAAGTGATCCATCAGCTCTCGCCAAATTCGCAAGATAGCAAACTTTATTGCTTGCTTCTCTCCTCTGTACCAACTTATAACATAGTACATAACAATACCTAAGAATTATAATAATTTGAGGACAGGAAATTTCAAAATATGTAACAATTTCAAGATGGAGCATATTTGATTACAATCACAACTTATGACAAAACTTTGTAAATTACAACTCCTTGAAATGAACTAGATCTAAAACATTAAATTTTATAAAAATAAATTAAAACAAATCTAATCAAGAAGCAACTGTTCAGCTTATCTTCAAGTGTTTTCTTGCAATATGCGCATATGAAATGTGGTGCCCATGTTTTGTCTTGTTTCCTGACCAGCATGCCAGAGTATACCTTGTAGGCCTCACACATTAAATGACTTGCTTCCACAGAATACTTTTTCACTCTAGTCTTTATGAATTGTCAGTGCACATAGCAGAATGAAAGCTAGATGCAAACAACCTCTTGATGCCATATCAAATAAGTAACTTCTCTTCAACTATGAATCATTATACTTTCATTCTACAATAACACAAATTGGAATCTTGAATATTTTGGAATGTTCAAAAATTTTCTTGAAAGTTCTGAAATTTTCTTGAAAGTTCTGGAAATTTCTTGAATGCTCTAATGTGTTTAGAAGAATTGTAGAATCATTTGGACAACTAGCAATTCAGGAATATTATAGGAGGAAGCTTGGCATTGAAAGCAAATCAAAAATTTTCTTGAAAACACACGATGAGGTCACAAATTTCATCATTTATGACCACAGGAGAAAGAAAATTCATCATTTGTGACCACAGGAGGAAAAAAATTTTGCAAAAATATTTTTAGTCATAGCCATAATGTACACTTCATTGCATCTTTGACATCATCTATGACATCATACATCTATGGCAGTTGTACATCATGTACACTTTCCATAAAAATTAAGAAAATACTGAAAATAAAAACAAACAAATAAAAAATATTAAAAAAAAAAAGTTTTTTCTATCAATCTTGAATTACTTCAGACTAATATGGAAATGTTAACTTATGTTAACAACATTAGTTTTGAGATGTTGTGATCTCAAAAATATGTTGTTTCCACCAATCAAAAGTATTTGACATTTTCGATTATGTAATATAATTTTAGCACTAGTTTAAACTTTCTGTTTCTTAAACGTTTTTATATTTATTATTATAAATGCTTGACTTTCAATTCTTGTCAATTCAATGCAATCAAAATTGGTTTTAGGAGAACCGAATATAATTTTTTTTATAAGTACCTGATCATTGATTGTTTACCAGCCATTATTTTATTATTATACTTAGTTAGTTTTGCTAGTTTAGTTTACTCTCCAACTTGGAATTTTTAAAACTTTGGAAACTTTTAAACAATTTTAAAATGCCAACTTTTTTCTCAATAGCTTTTTTTCTGAAAAAGCAGAAAGAAAAAAAAAAGAATAATGAAAAAAAACACTAAAACTTTTTGTTGTAATAAAATTTGAAGTTTTATCTATAATTATAAATACGCAGGTCAACAAAAAAAAATTTTTTTTCTGGTGCTGAGCAAATAATTTGTTTTTTGTATAGCATTTCTTATTTTGATTTCAAATATGCAACTCAATTTTCACCATCACGTCAAGTTGTAAAGATATTTGGGTTCAAATCTTTAGCATTTGGGGTAAAATCCCTAATATTGTCAAAAAAAAAATTATTCAAAAGTATGTCAACCTGGATCTCAAAAGAAGCTTATTTTCATAAAAATTTTAGAAAACATAAATATTTTTCCTTAAAATTTATTGACAAAAAAACTCTGTGAAAAAATGCTGACCTGTGTTATTTGTATACATGTAATAAACTTATATTTTGAACAAATAAATTTGTTTCATTCATAATTTGTTGTTATATTAGTATAAAATTAAATTTTTTATTTATTTTTATAAACTTTAGAGAAAACTAATGAAATAAAGACAAAATTGTCTCAGATTGTTTGTAAACAGTAACTGCTATTGCTTCACATTTTAATGTACCAAAGCTACATTAAAAAAAACATTGAAACAATATCATGAAACTAGTGGTTTTAAAACCAAACTCTGAACTGGATGACCAAAGGGGACTGCCCAAAAAGTAGATAATTCGTCAGTGTTTTAGAAATATCATCTGATGTATTTTTCACTTATAAATTTTTGGGAAAATGTAATGTTTAGCAATGAATCTTTAATTGAGCAGTTTAGTTGTTGTTCTACGAATGTTAAACACTTATTTTTTTATGGTTTATGACCTCTAACACAACAATAAATACCCATGGAATACTTCAACAAAAACCTAAAATATTTATGAATATCACTAATACCCACAATTTTAACATATAAGCAAGTCATATATTTAGCCCTGTCATGAGTCACAAGTTTAACATGATTTAGCCCTGTCATGGGACTATGGATTTGGATTTATGGTCTGGTAATTTACCTGACCTCAACTTCATAGAAAATCATCTTTAAAAAAGTTCAGCAAATGAGACCCTTATCTATTGATGATTTGCAAGAAAAAATAAAGCAGGTATGGATTCAACAAATCAAATATTTAAGAGAGCTTATTTATACTATGCCTACCTGTTCAATTAATTGTTTAAAAGCTTGATGACAACATGTCAAATATTAAATTGATGAGTGGATATTTACTATCATTTAAAAGTTGTTCTTTTTGTCACTTGTCAAACTTTCATAAATTAAATGAATATTTTAATGGAAATGTTTTTTATAAATCTTCCAAACATTCACAACTAATATAGAAAGAACATGAAATGATGTTGCTGCTTCATCGACTGAGGTTTTAGGTTTGGGCAGCAATAAGTTTGTTTCATTATTCTTTGATTTTTTTTTCCTTTTTGAAAAAAAAAACATTTTTGGATTTAGCTTCGCAACAATAGTCAGTTTTTTGTATTAGATTATTTGACAGTTTTGTTGCTATTTGGACTACTTTTCTTTTCCGGTTATATCTGGAATTTTGGATATAACTAGATTTCTATATTCTGAATTCTGAATATTTCTTTCAATTTTGAATTTTTACGAAAGTCTAAAAAGTTTTCTGTAAATACAACTTTAATTCTTTATAACTTTTTTTTTAAAACTTTTAGTCATCACCCATACAATTTTGAAAAGAGTTTCATAATATTAGGAAAGCCACATTAAATTAAAATGCTAATGCTAAATTAAGCTAAATTAATATAAAAAATTTCTTCCAGATATTTTCCAAATACTTTTCACAAAATATTTTTTGGTTTTTTAAAATATGACCCGGATGATCACTGGGATTATAAATCTATCTTGATTTAGTAATGCCGAATTCATTTGGTTTAGTAATGCCAACTTCTCCTGGTTTAGTAATGTCGACTTTCAAATTCTTTTTTATAATTGCTACTAATTGACTGCTTTCAAATATAATGTAGTAACAGAGGATTATATTTTCATTATTACTATTTATGCTTGTAATGTTGTATATGTAACAACTATTTGTTCTGATTATTGAATAAAGTTGTTTTGATATTTTTATAATTTATTATTTAAGTCAGAATTTGTAATATTCAAAATCATCATCATCGTATTTTTTTAACATAAAAAAATATGATGATGATGATGATGATGATGATGATGATGATGATGATGATGATGATGATGATGATGATGATGATTACCATGAATATGTTGGTAATGAGTAGAAGGAGGATTATGAAGATAATAATAATAATAATTATTTTTTTTTATAGCGCTTTACGAGATAGCAGATTTTCACCTGTTTCTTTGGAAGAAGTTCCCAACCTACATTGCAGTGTATCATTATTGACAAATTTTGAAGGAAACAAGAACTATTTAGATTGGGAGGTATCTTTAAACAAAAATTATTCAGATTGGGAGGTTCACAAAAATTATTTATTGGGAGGTTTTCACAAAAACTATTTAGGTTGGGAGGTTTTCACAAAAACTATTTAGGTTGGGAGAAAATAGAATAAAAATGATTAGAAATAGAATAAAAATGATTACTAACCTACTCTGACCTCACAGAGTTACTTAGACTTAAACAGTTGATTACCAACTTACTCAGACCTCACAGAGTTACTTAGACTTAAACAGTTACTTGTTATACTTACACAGTTGCTTATTTTCTTTTATACAATTTTACCTTTATAAAATTGTTATACTTTTATAGTTAAACAGCTTTTTTATTTCCTCAATTTCATACTTTATAATAGTTTCAAAATTTATACAAGTTATCAAAAATTGTACATTTTCAAAAAAAAGTAAAAACATTGATTTTTAAAAAAAAATGTCATCAAATCTTGCACAAAAAATATCATCAAACCTCACACAATAAAGATTTTTTTCATTGCAATAACAGTTAGAACTGTTGCTTAAGAACTAAGAATTTATGAAAGCATTGCTTTCATTTCAATCAACACTTAACAGCACTGACGAATTATTTTGCTCAATAGTACCTATGTTGCAGATACATTTGATGCTGTGTTGCTGATGCATTGTCTAAAATGATATTCAAACTTTGTAACACTATTGCAGCATGTAAAATAACAGCCGGTCAACGGTCAATGACCGCCCAAAATGAGTAAAATTGCTATTTTGACCTCCCAAAATAAATTCTTGCTGGTCATGGAAAAAGCATGTACTAAATTATCATATAATCATTAAAATTTTGAAAAAGTTTATCAGTTTATCAAACTTCCTTTAAGAAGTAAAATGAAAATCTGCGCGCTTAATTTTAAACTAATAACATTGGCGTGAAATTTTAATGTTAGTTATTTGCAAGTTTAAAAAAGAAATACTAATTCGTTAATTATCAAATATTAAGTTATTTTTGTATTTATAAAGTTCATTCATGAAGAACTATTAGGAAGATTAAAATGAAAACAAAGAAAATAATAAAAATGTTGACCATCCAAAAAAAACAGTTAACCGCCAATTCCAAGGGTTAGCTGGTCAAATTGACCGCTTGCCTTTGATTTCTTATTTTACACGCTGCTGTTGCGACGCAACTTTGCAACACTTTTTTTTTTCCACCATTTAAGAAATTACAGCTATATACAAGAGTTTTTAGATAACCCAATAATGAATATGATTTTTTATGATAGAGATTTGATAGTGGTTTTGAATAAATGAATGATTGTGATTTTTTATGATAGTGATATGATAGTGGTTTTGAATGAATGAATGATAGTAATTTTTTATGGAAGAGATACGATAGTGGTTTTGAATGAATGAATGATAGTGATTTTTTATGATAGAGATACGATAGTGGTTTTGAATGAATGAATGATAGTGATTTAGGCATTTTAATAAAATTAAGATTTTTGAAAACAGTAGATCAGATGTTAAATTTTTATAATGACTGATGGATACAAAAATTACAAGTTCTTGATTAGTAACCCTTGATCCTTCTTTGAATCCCTGCTTTATCAACGCTATCTTTGATGGTGTTGATAAAGCAGGGATTCATAATCATAATCTTCAAAAATGTAACAGTTATTATAAACATTTCAATAAACAGTTGACTTCTTATTATGAACCTGTTTTTCTAAACTATAACATAAAAAAATATAATTACATTTATGCTTACTTTTATTATTATATAAGTTACAGTTTTAAAAAAATCATTAGGTTGGAGTACATGGTATTCGAATAGAGTTTTTTAATGAACGAGGAAGAAAGTTAAGTGCCACATACCTGCCAGAAGTTGCACAAGAGCAAAGTATTTCTTTATCATTTTTAGAAAATATTGATAAAATAAATGATTTCTTTATTTTTTATTTTAATTTAAAATTATTAACAAAATTGTCTAGATTTAAAATTAACATTATTTATAAACATTTAGTTAAATATGTTTATGTATATATATATATATATATATATATATATATATATATATATATATATATATATATATATATATATATATATATATATATATATATATATATATATATATATATATATTTTTTTTTTTAATAATCTTATGTATTTATAATCTATGCTTGTTCGTTTTATTTTTATTATTACAGCTATTAATAATAATAATATTTATAGTTTGGTTAAACTTTGCATATATATATATATATATATATATATATATATATATATATATATATATATATATATATATATATATATATATATATATATATATATATATATATATATATATATATATATATATATATATATATATATATATTAGGGTGGGGCATAAAATTTTTAAAAATTTTTATGTTATTTTTAAAAATATTATAATGAATTTCTGTTTATTTTTTTAATATACTTCAGAAAATAGAACAAAAATTTTTAATAGTTGTTCCTATGGTTGGTCCCAGTAGTCCAAAAATTAAAAAAAATATTTTAATTTGTAACAAAAAAAAGGGGTGTGGTCAAATATATTAAAAATATTTTTAAAATATGATAGGTTTCATTCAGAAGAAAAAGTGGATTAGCATTAGATTTTATTTTTTTAAAAGGATAAAAATACTTTTATCTGTCATTTTATCAAATATCTTATAATTTTGTTTTATCTTTTGATTTTTCTGTAATTAACTCTTTCTCTTACAATAGACTTTATAATAACAGTTTCAATTGCTACTTTTTTTTTGTTGGTTTTTACTATATCTGGAATTTTATGATTGCCCAACATTTTTGAACAATTTTTTGCAAAATTTCTAGCTTTTATATTTTTTGTTTTTCGTAGCCTTTCATTATTTGTTGTTTTAACTTATTTCCTATCATTCTTGGAATGTTTTCTTTTTTAATAATCTTATGTATTTATAATCTATGCTTGTTCGTTTTATCTTTATTATTACAGCTATTAATAATCAATCAATTTTTGAAATAGTTGTTACACATCATAGATATTTACAAATAATAGTTTGTAAATATCTATGATGTGTAAATAAAAACATAGTTTGACTGGATAGCTTTTAGATCATAGGGAAGTTTATTCCAAAATTTTATACTTTGTTATTCAGATTATTAATGGATCAAAAAAGAATCAGTTATTTGCACTTTCAGGGAAGAATCAGTTATTTGCACATTTAGGGAAGAAGTTGTTGAAGATAAGAGGTAGTTTTTTGTGTTGTTCCAGACAAAATGGCAGTTAAGTAATTGAACAAGATCACAAAGTTTAGGAAGTTTAGGTAGTAAGATAAAGCATATTAGGATTTTACTTGTGATTTAAAAAATACATTATAATTACATTATCAAGCATATCATATATTAGAGTCAAAAATGGTGTATATTTAAAAGTGTTTCTAGGTTGACATAATGGCAAACTTCAGTCAGCATTTCATTTGATCTGCCAAATTTTATGGCTAAGTTATTAAAATGGGATACAAATAAAGGTTGGAGTCATTTTAATTCCAAGGTATTTAATTGAGTTTACAGGATTGATTTTTTGCCCACTTAACTCTAAAATTTATGTTTTTATTGATTTTTGATTTATTGGATTTAAATACAACCAGTTTTGCTACAGTTAAAAACAAAAAATTTTTTCTTTAATTTGAACAAAGTCACTGAGCTAGGTTAGCAAGATCATGGTTAATGTGTTTGTTAAGTTTTTTTAAAGATTTGTTTATAATGAGTAAGTTAGTATCATCAGCAATGCGGATCTGTGATATTATTTTCTTCAGCAAAGCGGATCTGTGATTTTCTTTCAATTTAAGTTTGAGAGTTGAACTATAGTAGAAAGGTTTAGTATTAATGATTTCTTTTATCCCTTTCCAAGTATTCTTTAAATTGTTTAGATTTTTACTTTTACTTATTAAAAAACATTTAAAAAAGAATCTAACAATAGACTAATATTCTTCTTTTTTTTTTAAAGTTTCCAACTTTTCGATTAGGTAAATAATGATACGTTTAGTTAAAAAGTAAATACTCTAAGATAACCTGTAAAAGTTCTCGCTTATTTTGATATTTTATAAACTCTCGCTTATTTTGATATTTTTGTTTCTCTTTCATACTTCTTTTCTGTTTATTTAATTCAATCTTTTTGTTCAATAAGTTTCATTCAATAAATTTTTGTTCAATAAATTTCATCTATTTCGATTTCTCAAAGACATCACTTGACACTTAATTCCTAATTGCTTACGATATTCAAGGATGAAAAAAGCTGCTCCCTGTGATTGCCTTGTTTGCTCCCTGTGATTGGCTCGTTTGTAACATAATAAATCTGTTTTTATAAATAAAACATCAACAACATAATGAAATTGTTTTCCTTTTTGCCTTTTAGTAAACTCCGATCATAGTTAACATATATATAAATGTTGATCATATTAACATATGAATGAATATTTGACATAAGCAAAAAGGCACAATCATTTATTTGTCAGTATTAAAGAGGAAATGTTGACACTTTAGTCTTTCTTTTTTATTAAGCAGTTGTTTTTTTTTCTAACATAAATTTTTAAATAAAGGCTGAGGTTGCAAATATTAGTTTTGGTGCTTAAATGTTGTTTTACTGATATCTAAATTTTGGAATCAGAGAACACACACCTTGGAACAGAGAACACACACCTTGGGACAGAACACACATCTTGACAAATAATGCACATAAACATTTTTTAATAAGCAAGCAATTTTTTTAATGCTATTGCGGGTTATTATTTTTTTTTTTTAATTTTGTTTTGTACTGTATTTTTATAAAATGAATATATTCCGTTCTATTTTATATTGTTTTTGCAAAATGAATAAGTTGTTTTGTATAGATTTTTACGAAACAAAATTCTTTTCATTTATACAGTACAAAAAAAACAAAGTATTTGAATTGTTTAAAATTTTCTTTTAATTGTAATAGATAATTATTTATTTTAAATTTAGAATGAGGAAATAAATCAAATTATATGAAATAAACTTTTCTTTGATCAACATCAAAGTTATCCTCAATTTTTTAATCATGCCTAAGCAAAAAAGGTTGAAGTTTGTTTATATGCCTGCCTGGTTTTGTGCACCATAAAGTTATTGTGAAAGTTGTTAAGTATGGTGAATGTAAAAAGTGTCTAATTCAAATTAACCAAGTTCTAACCAAGGATGTATTTGTGGTATCAGATACCATTTGAAAAATAAGTATCCCACTCACTACGTTACAATGGTGGGGACCTAGGCTAGGCTTTGAGAGCCAAAGGACTAATGAGTTTTAAGAAATAATAGGGCTGTTATCGAACAAAGAAATAAATAAGGTTGTTGTTGAACAAAGAAATAAATAGGGTTGTGATAAAGCAGTTGGAGGCAACAAGCACTAATAACTAGGTAACAACACTCTAGTAGGTAAAGACCTTGTTTCAAGCAAATAGGGGAGCACTTGAATCCTAAAGTGTTTTATGATATAATTAGATGGTGTTAAACACAAATCAAACAACCTCGCATTTGCCCTAAAAGTTTTATGGCTTTACACTACATTTACGCATACACGCTTACCCAAATTTGTTGATTTCATTGATATAATATATTATTGGGATTATGCTTCATGAAAGCAATAATGCTATGATTAGTGCTAATATTAAATTGACATGTTACTACAAGTTACGACCCAGATTGGTTCATTTCCCTTTTATTTCATATATTTACAATTGTTAACTGCTCCCTAGCATATATAAAACGTGCTTCAAAGCAAACATCTAAAATTATTTCAAATATGATACTATAATTGTACTCTACCGGTTTGTAAAATGTGCTTCACATAAATTCATTTTTTCATATATAAAACTCTAATTGATCCCTTGTGACTTGAAGACATAATTTGTAACTCTACTGTGAAAAGTTAATGTTTAATGAAATATTATATTAATTATTTACTGAATTTTATATAGAATAAATTTTCCAATTTAAAATCAATTCACAAAAACCAAAAATATAAAATTATTATTATTATTATCAAGTCAAAAATGTATCGATCACAGCTTTCTGAACAGTATTTGAAAAAGTTAAACATCCAAGAAGCTCTGAAATTATTCATTGATTAATATGACAAATGTGACAACAACAGTAAAAAATGTAAGTAAATGATTGTATGAATTTTGTTAAGATTTAAAAACCTTTATTAGTCAATAGTAAAATTAGTATATTGTTATTTGTTTTGTTTTTTCTAAGCGATAATAAAAATTATAGGATTAACAATGTAGTATTATTATTTGGTTCTTTGTTGGTTAATTTAATACGACTTTTTTGCAGTGGAACCAATTGGTTCCTTGAATGAATGAGTGATCATTAGTGTTGATTATTTTATTGAGGCAAGGATAATATTTTAACAAAATAAATTCACAATAGAGATTTTACCATTTTTGTTGTAGCATCATCTAATTGGTGCAGCCATAGCGCAGTGGTAGCGCACTTGCCTCACAAACAAAGGATCTGTGGTTCAAACCCCACCTCTGGGCAAGTTTTGAAACATCGGTTAGGAAGGAGGCATGAACTTTATATTAAATGTTCATCTGCGTTGCTCTATGACAAGACTGTAAGGACTTCTTGGGGGTACCTAAATGAAATTAAAAAAAAATAAATGATGATTACATGTAGGTTCAGAATATGTTATCTCAACACAGTAACGGATCTTGTGGTTCAAATGACAAAAATACAATTGATGATACCATAAAAGATTCATCTTCTTGATATAGTGCAGATCATTTCCTTGACAATGTGACTGCTGTTTTATCTAAAGAATAAGGGTCATTATATCCAAGTACAGACTTTCTACTCCAGAGTAACTTAAGTAATGATGAGGATGATCTTTCATTAATGAATTTTATTCATTAATGAAGAGCTAAAAAGTTTATTAACTGAAATTAGTTTATAACAAGAATCAGTTTATAACAAAATCAGTTTGTAACTAAAATCAGTTTATAACTCAAATCAGTTTATAACAAGAAAAGGAATTTTGAAACAGCCAAAAAATATTCAACCATAGATTTCAATGCTCCAAGAAATATTATAAACTCTTGAGTATGAACTGCAAAAGTCAATTTGACATGTTTAGGGAACCTAAAGATTATGTTTCATAGAATGCTTGTATTGCTGGTTATGTTAGTGTTTCTACAGGGTTATTCATTCTTATATGCGTGTCCTTTTATTTTTATATGCGTGTTTATTTATTCTTATATGCGCACTTATTCATTCTTATATGCGTTTTAAAAAAGCAATTTGAACAACATCAAAAATCATTTAAGCAATTTGTTTTGAAATAACAATTTATTTTTTCAAAACAAATTTTTCTTATTTTCTGTTAAATGAGTTTAAAAATACTTAAGACGAAGACTTTTTACATTTAATGGTGGTTTACTTAATTTAATATTAGGTCTTTGTTTAATTTTAATATTAAATTTCATGATTGATTAAATTATTATCTATCTAGTTATTCATTTATCTAGATTTAAATTTAATTCTTTATAATTATTATGAATATCTATATAAAAATTTAAAAGCCTATTTATTGTTTATATTAAAGAGATTTTATGGGTGGTTGACTTGCATATAAACGCGCATATAAGAATGAATAAATGCGCAGATAAGAATGAACAAATGCGCATATAAGAATGAATAAACATAGATATAAAAATGGATAGGCGCGCATATAAAAATAAATAACCCTGTAAAAAGAAGAAACAATATGGAAACTCAATTAAGAGACAATTTTTTAAACTATTTATTTTGGATAACCAGCATGTGTGTCGTAAATGAGTTGCTAGAAAAAGAAACAATACTGCTCTTAAAAAGAAAATATTTGGTACTTTGATCAATCAAGAGGGAAAAAAGAAGCTGTCAACAAAATATCTAGATGCTAGAAAACAATCAGTCATTCATCACAAGTATAGATCTTATTTCACTACATTGCAAACATAATATCATTTCCTGATTCCAGAATTGACACTTGCAAAAGTGTACAATCTTTATAAAGAAAACATGTCAACCGGTCAGCCAGGGTTTTTTCTGTTTATTATCAATAAATATTCAACAATCAATAAATCTAGTCTCAAGAATGATATTTAAACTTAAAAATATTTGAAAAATTAGTTAAATTAGATACAACTTAAAAATATTTGAAAAATTAGTTAAATTAGATACAACTTAAAAATATTTGAAAAATTAGTTAAATTAGATACAACTTAAAAATATTTGAACATTCTGACAGAAAGCCTTTACGAATTAAATTTAAAAACTTGATTTTCTTGGAAAGACAAAAAATGGATATACACCTTTTGGTTCTCAGCTGACAAACTGGTGATCCTGACAATTTATCTACATATAAGTTCATGTTTTACAAAAGCTTAAATCTAAGATTTAATATTCCTAACAAATATACACACAAGACATCCAATACAAACAAAATAGCAATTGTTGCAGGAACTGTATCGAATAAAAATTAACTAAAATACCAGCAACATATAACTCTTGCTGACAAGCAGGTTAACTTAAAAGTTAACTAAAGTGTTAACGTTTGATCTCCACAAGGTCCTGTTGTTGCACAAAATTCTGACCATTGTGTATTATAAAAAGCAGCCAGCATGTGCAATTTAGGAAATCATAGTGGCAAATCAAATAAAGGGTATTTCTATGTAGGGACAGAAACCTAAGATGGGCACATTATACAAAATATTGGCTCAGTAATTATCAAGCATATCAATTCTGCTGTTGATTATTCAGTGAAAAATCTTTTTTTATGGTGTGATTCCTGTAGATAGCAGAATTGTAATATTCGTATACCTACTTATTTGCACTTCTTATGACACAGTAGCATGAAAACTACAGACAATAACATTGAAGAGACAACATTGTCTGTATTTACCATTATCATAAAGTAATAATTGATTACAGAGAAATAAACAAGTTTACTGTAATACGGGTTCAGCTGTCAGAGTTTTTCTCATGTAAAGTTATTGTAGTAAAGATCGTAAATTAAAAGGCAGACACAGCAGGGAACAAAATTTCGTTGCTCAAAACCAAACAAATTAAATTGAAAAACAAATACCCTACTACTTTATATATGGCAAAAGATTATACAAACAATTTCATTGAAGTGTCAGTACAAATGCGTTTTCGTGCATGTTTCACATGATGTTCGATTTTGTACTGGCTGCCAGACTGATTTCAAAACCAAAGTGCGATAACATTAGATTGATGATCTAATTCCTGCAGACTGTCAAAAGTTTTACAAGAAATTAGCCGAGTATTTATCCGGTAAAGTTAACAATGATGTTGACATGTTTATTTATTACTAACATGGTTATTGTAGATTGAAATGAAAATGGACTATTAATAGTATGATAATGATTCTAACGTTTAAGCATTCTGATGTTTACGTAGTCAAGCTCAGCCCTAAAAGTCAACTTTTTGTCCAAATAAGACAACTTTCCTAGTATTCATTATTCTTTAGTTTTGCTCATCGGTTACTTAGTGGACCATAAGTGGCAGCCGCTATAAATGGCAAACCAATAATTTTCTGACATGTTAATAGTGGTTAATCGTCAGCTAGCCACTTTTGACGGCTGCCACTAATGATTCATTAAGTAACTGATGAGCAAAACGTCAGCAGTCCGCTCAAAAGGCCTATATAGGTTCACTAAATTTCTGCTGTAGATTGTTTGCTGGGTAGTTTGTTCATGTTTAACTGAACAATTATTCGATGTTATGAAGTTTGATTTCTTATTATTACAATGGTGAATATGTAATATTAAAACTCATTGAACGTCATAAAAAAATAAAAAATGTTTAGCTCGAAATTGTGTTTAGATCAAAATTTATTTTCTTAAAAGTAAGCTATTTTTACAACAATACAAGTCAAAGTTTATTGGTTCTTGACGTATCGTTATGAAAACAGATAATATCAGTTTAGCAAAACAGAAAAATCTAGTTTAGTGATTCTTAACCACTGTGCCCGGCACTATTGTGTGCCACAAAATTCTAAAAGTGTGCCGCAAAAATTTTAGATATATACAATTATGTTAATATTATTACATAATATGGTTTAAAACCAAAAATTTTAACTGGAATAGATATTTAAATCCATCAAAAAATTAATATCGTTAAAAGTGTGCCGCAACAAAAAAAAGAGTTGAGAATCACTGAACTAGTTTCAAAACAGTTTTTGGACATTTATAATGTATCAATATATATATATATATATATATATATATATATATATATATATATATATATATATATATATATATATATATATATATATATATATATATATATATATATATATATATATATGTACACACACGCAGACATATATATATGTGTGTGTGTATATGTGTGTGTGTGTGTGTGTGTATGTGTACACACATATACTATTATAATGCTTTTATAGATTGGAATCAAGTTCAAACAATCGATTCTTTAGTGAAAAAGGCAGGATACTGGAATGCAATTACAGAAGAGCTTCGTCGTTCTATTAAACTCACTCGCTATAGAAGCGAAAAGATGGTTGTAAGCTATGAGGAATATTCACAAGCGCAATAAGTATACCACTAGATTTATTTTTGATAGTTTTTTTTTTTACATCCAAGGGTGTAAGTAACTGTTACAATTGCTACTTGGATTTAACCGATCTACGGACAAAGATATTATTACATTAAAATAAGTATGCGAAAAATTCATAAACATGTTTGTTAAGTTTTTTAATCGTAAACATTGGATTTACGTAAATTAGAACTTTTGAATATGAATATATTTTCATGGTTACAAAGCATTTTATGGTGTTAAAACTTTTTGTTTTTATTTGTATTTTCTTAGAAGTTTTAATGAATGAAGTATTTTTTCCTGTTTTTTCCTTATGTAAATATCCATTACTACAATTAAATTAATTTTATAAATATATGCGTTAGTGTAGCAGTAGTAGAGGGCTTGCATCGATGAAGTTTCGAGTTCGATTCCCACCTCTAGTAGTACCGTGCTCAACTTGTTTCTCCATGCAGTGGCCTTGTTCATCAAGGTTTGTGTTTCGCATTTATAAAGTTGAGAGAAGGTTTTAACCATAACTAAAAGTAGCCTCCTCGACTGTAGTGGTCTTCATGGCCTTGGGGAGGTGAATTGATATGAATAAATATATATATGTATATATATAGGGCCATCCCGAGAAGGGAGACATAGGGGGTCTAGCCCCCCTGGAAATTTTATTAGTCGGCAAATTTGACACTAGAGTTGGTAAATTGGGTTTATAGTTGTCAGTCGGCAAATGTCGGGCAACGAAGACTTTTTTTTTTTTTAAGAGAAAAGTTAATGGGCAAAAAAATATTATTTTAGTAAGTCATCCCCCCTTTCCCTCAATAAAATCTCTTCGGGACGGCCCTGTATACAAACTATTATAAAAAAGTTTGAAAAAAAACATTATTGAGTAGTATGATAAGGACTTTTATATCAAGAGTAAATTTTTTTTTTCAGTAAAATAACTATCATGTTACTTATATAAAATGCTTGGGTAACTTGGATAAAAAATGCTTAATCAAATGGTAGTTTGCAGTGGCTAAACCCGGGGGTCAGTGGGCCGGAGGCCCCCAGCCGGGGGTTTGGGGGCCCCTAGACCCCCCAAGTAGGAGGGTTAGGGGGGAAGCTGCCCCCCAGAAATTTTTTTTCAAGTCTTGCTAATAAAAGGACACAATCTAGGTATGTTTTAGAGCATTTTTTTTATAATTTTTTACCAACTGGTTAGGTACAGCTACACCCCTTTGGTCCAGACACCCATATATATGTAAACTGACAAAAGGTCTTGAATCATGACTTAAGAAAGCAACTGCTGAGCTGTAGGTATATTTACTATTGAGACAGTGTAGTACGTGTATCAAATTGATAATGTGTTCACCTCCAATAAAGGAAGAAAATACCAATAATATTGGTATTTAAATGAAAAAATTAAAAAAATAAAAATAAACAATATTTCATCAAAATTCTTAAGGTATTGTATTGTTGTTTTATCATGTAAATATTTTTTCATATGTTTTCCAGGATATTTTTATATATGTTTTCCAGGATATTTGGCAAAGGTCAAACAGAGAAGTGAAGTACATCATGTACTTCACTTCTCTGTTTGACCTTTGCCAAATTGTCACCATGTAATGTTAGACTGTACTAAGGGCATACATGTACTGTACATGTATGCCCATAGTACAGTCTAACATTACAAAAGCACCAATAACAATATTTATGTTATATTGGAATAGGATAGCATTTAGCAATATAAGCAAACATATATCATTTTTAGTATTGTTGATGGTGTCAAATATTTAGCTGAAGCTAGAATCTTCATATATTTTTCTTTTGAAAGTATAAAAAAAAACAATAAATATAAATTGTAACATAATTTATGTACTATTTAGTTAATCAATTAATTTTAAAATAGTTTTTTATATATTAACTTTTCTGGCCTTTTTTGAAGCAAACTTCTTGATCACTACTGTGAAATCTCTTGATCTAACTATGTCACTTTCAATGCATAATAAAGCCAAATCATTTAAGCGAGGTTGTCCCATTGTTGATCTAAGTTCATTCTTAACTCTTTTAAGGACTGAAAAAGATCTTTCTCCAGTACAGTTTGTGACCATAAGAGACAAATAAATTCTCAACACAGTGTAGACATTCACAAAGGTATCGGTCAAACTATTCTTAACTAGTACATTTGCAGTTCAACACAATCAGTTTCATTGGGCGGTGACAATTTGGCAAACAGAGAATTGAAGTGAATAAATTCACCATGACAGTTAGGATCAACATCTTCAAAATATGTTTCACATACAAATAAAACATGATCTCTCATACCATCATTGGACAAAGATTGTAGATTTTTAAGAAAACCAAACCTTTTGCTGACTGTATCATATGCATTAGCCCTCTGTTTAAGAGCAACTAACAATTGATCAACTATAGGCAAAAAACACTGAACTTTAAACTTATCAGAAGGGGATAACTCTAGATCTTCTGAGTCACCATAATCCCATCTCTGGTTCCTCTTGCGCTTTCGCCTTGATTTACCTTTGTACGAATCGGTACCCAGATCCTTTTCTTCTTTTTCAAGTGCTGTGAACTGGCTCCGAAGAGAATGAACAAAATCACCCAAAGAACGAAGCAGTTCCGTAGCGGTGTTGAGATCCATGTCTGTCCCTTGTAAGTACTTGCTAGTTAAATTGAACCTATTCAGAGTTTTTGACCACAATTGAACTAGGATACCTGTTTCATGATGACTCATTATATCTTTCAATCCTGCGGCTTCAAGTCGTGTTTCTGGTTTTTGAGACATATTTTGACACATGATATCCAGTGTAGACTTCACTTGCGTATAGCCAACCTGGAGGGAGTGTACAGCATCATAATGTACTGACCATCTGGTATCAGATAACCTTTTTAAGGTAGGCATATTAAGTGGCTTTAAAACTGCCATCAAACGATTCCAACGAGAGGTGGAATCAAGTAACTTTGTTGCTAATCCTTCCCCAGTGTGCTCTTCTGTAGGGATAAATGTCACAAAACGTTCAACTGGTCCTTTAGAAGTAATGTAACGGAATATAATGTTAAGCTGATCTACATGTGAAATATCTGGTGTTGAGTCAACACTAACTGCAAAGTATTTTGCTTTTTTAATTTCAGTTAAAATGTGGTCCAAAACGTCACGACTTAACACATGAATAAATTCATCACATATAGTTGATGACAGATATAACACATGACTTCGGCCTTTGTTCGCTCTTTTCTGAATATGTTCTGCAATTCAGAACCCACAATTTCGTTACTGCCACGGAATGACAACCCACGCGATGCTAACATTTTGATTACGGTAAGAATACGCAACAGTATGTCATTCCAGTACTTTTTCTCTGATTCAAATTGCTCTGTGAGCCTCTTACTAATGTGCTCTCCAGCTTTCCTACGTGTTAAAAGGGTTTCAATTGATTGAATGTGGGTTTCACTTGTTTCATGGCGAGCTAAGTCTCTTGCAGCGTGTTTCCAATCATCATATCCTGATGACATCAAAGCAGATGCTCCAATTCCACATTTTGAATTAAATAATTTACAATGGGCGCAGAAAACCTTACCAGTTAATGGGAAATAGCAAATCCAGTCTCTCTTAATTTTCTCACCATTCACTTTTTCCCGGAAAAAAAGGGACTTTGTACACTGTCGTTTAAACCTAAAAGTGTCACCAGGCAGTACTTTAGTAGATGATTTAAAATTGCTATCCATATGTTGGCATGATAAAAACCCATCTGCACTTTTGCTGAAATACTCACGCAGGTCGTCGGTTATAAACCACTTAGCCACATCGGTGTTGACAGTGTGGGTCGTCAGAGCCAGGGGTAACACTGCTGAGATAGTTGAGACGCTTGAACTTGCTGTAACTGAGTCTGTTGAGACACTATTAGAATTACCTGGAACTGGTGCTGACATAGTTAGTGAGTTTGAACTCGCTGAACTACCTGGAACTGGTGCTGACATAAATGAGTTTGAACTCGCTATAGCTGAGTCTGCTGAGACACTATTAGAATTACCTGGAACTGGTGCTGACATAAATGAGTTTGAACTCGCTGAACTATCTGGAACTGGTGCTGAAATAAATGAGTTTGAACTCGCTGAACTATCTGGAACTGGTGCTGACATAAATGAGTTTGAACTCGCTGAACTATCTGGAACTGGTGCTGACATAAATGAGTTTGAACTCGCTGAACTATCTGGAACTGGTGCTGACATAAATGAGTTTGAACTCGCTGTAGCTGAGTCTGCAGGGACACTATTAGCACTACCTGGAACTGGTGCTGACATTATTGACATATAATATCATTGACAGTTAAACTCGCTCTCGCTGTAGCTGATACCGAGACACTACTTGCAGTATTACAAAACTCAGTCATTTTTTATTTTTGTTCAATAATTCATTTAATTGAATCTCATTTTTCTTCTTTTTTTGCATTTTGTCCCAACCGCTCAGGCCGCTCCTTTTCATTTTTTATTTTAATTTTGTAAACGAATGAGCAATGCTGTAATTTTCTGCGGTAACGGAACTGATCATAAAATAAAAAATGAAACTTAATCTCTATTCATTTATTTACTAAAAATGAAATTCATTTTTAAAAAAAAAAATCATAATAAATTCATTATAAAAAAAATTCATTATAAAAAAAAATTTCATTATAAAAAATTCATTATAAAAAATTCATTATAAATTCTTTATAATGGCTTCATATAAATTCTTATAATGAATTCTTTATAATGAATTCTTTATAATGAATTCTTTATAATGAATTCATTATAAATTCATTATAAAGAAATTCATTATAAAAAAAAAATCATTTATAACTAAAAATGAAACTATATCTCTTTTCATTTATTTATTCACAACGCCTCCGCAGCTCCCAATAAATTGATTTAAAAAAACTGAGAAACATAGGAATATTTATCTGGTTCCCTAAAAAAAAAAAAAAAAAAAGGCACGGGCCTTAGGGCCTATTTTTTTTATAAGGGCCTGGGGCTGCAGCCCCATCCGCCCCCGTCTTAATACGGCCCTGAATGTGACCAGCTGAAAGTCCAATATATTTTAATCAACAAAACAATAAAAAATCTTATTAAAACAAAAAGAATAAATTATGAAAAAAAAAAATAGCTGACTCATCGAAAGAAAATCCAAAACTGTTTTATGCATATGTTAATTCAAACAGAAAAATAAAATTAGGCATTAATATAATAACAGATAAAAATGGTTCTTTACAAACAAATCGTGATGATATTGCTAATATCCTCAATGAAAACTTTCACTCAGTATTTGTTATAGAAGATCCAACAAATTTTCCTAATATTGCATTAAAAACAAGCAAGACTTTAGAATTAGATATAGACTCAATAATAACTCAAGACATCGTTAGAATTAAACTAAGTGAACTAAATGTCAATAAAGCAATAGAAACAGATGGTGTAAGTTCATATGTGTTAAAAAAATGTCAAAATAGTTTTTGCAAACCTCTAGAGTTACTATTCAAAAGATCCTTACAAGAAGAACAACTTCCACTCATATGGAAAATGGCTAATCTAACACCACTACACAAGAATGGAGATAAAAATGATCCTGCAAACTATAGACCAATTTCATTAACGTCAATACCATACAAAATTCTAGAGTCAATCTTAGGTAACAAAATAATGGATTACATGTTAGCAAACAATTTATTAAATAGCAACCAACATGGTTTTCAAAAAAACAAAAGCTGTACTACTAATCTACTAGAAACACAAGATATTTTACTTGATGCTATTGAGAATGGCTGGTGTGTTGATGTATTGTATACAGATTTCTTAAAAGCTTTTGATAAAGTACCTCATATGCGATTGATGTCAAAGTTAATACCATATGGTATAGTTGGAGTAATTCTAAATTGGATAGAAGCCTATTTACATAATAGAAAGCAACGAGTAATTTTAGGGGATTGTGTATCAAAATGGCTAACAGTTGAGAGTGGAGTTCCGCAAGGTTCTGTCCTGCCAGACACATTAAAAAATAATATTAAATTGTATGCAGATGATAGCAAAATTATAAATATTTTTAAATCAGATGAAGATATCCGTATAAACAAATTACAACTAGATATTGATAATATTATAAAATGGTCGTCACTATGGTTAATGAAATTTAACTATGAAAAGTGTAAAATTATGCACATTGGTTTTAAAAATCCTTGTATAACTTATTCAATGTACGACGCTGAAGCAAGACATCTTAAAATTAGAAAAAGTACAGAGAAGGGCAACAAAACTCGTACCAGCTTTTAAAAAAATGCCATATAAAAAAAGATTACAGTTAATGAAATTAACAATTCTAGAAGGACGCCGTTTAAGAGGAGATCTTATTTTTCAATATAAAATACAAAACGGTTATGAGAAAATAAATTGGATAAACGACTCTACATCTCAAGTTCAATTAAAACCTTACAATTTTCGTAGTCATAACCAAAAGTTAACAAAAGCATATTGTAAGAGCAATTATAGATATAATTTCTTTTCCTGTAGAGTCGTAAATGCTTGGAATGGCTTACCACCATATATTATCGAATCAATGACAATTGACCAATTCAAAAATAAACTTGATAAATCAGATTACTGCAAAAATTATTTATTAAATACTAAATAATATCTATAAACATTGAAAAGTAAACAATGTTATTATAAAACATGTATAGCTGTTATAGCACAACATCTTCTGTTGTTGTGCTCCACAATTGATTTCATCAGTTGTTACAGTGTACATTATTATTATTATTATTATTATTATTATTATTAAATATATATATATATATATATATATATATATATATATATATATATATATATATATATATATATATGTATATATATATATATATATATATATATATATATATATATATATATATATATATATATATATATATATATATATATATTAGAGTTCTGGCTCAGAACCCAGAGGTCCCAGGTTCGACGCCAGCTCTAGCCCAACAAGCGACATTGGTACGAAAGGAGGCGTGAACTTCCCGTTAAATGCTCTCCCGCGGTGCTCTACGATAAGACCGCAAGGACTTCTGGGAGCACCTAAATACATACAAGGAATATATATATATATATATATATATATATATATATATATATATATATATATATATATATATATATATATATATATATCTTGATTTTTACATAATAGATAACAGGAAAAAAAGCAATAACAAAAAATGTTTTGTCCCCCCCCCCCTCCTTAGAAAATTTTCTGCGGGCGCCTATGTATATATATATATATATATATATATATATATATATATATATATATATATATATATATATATATATATATATATATATATATATATATTTCTCTCGATACTAAATTCATTTTTTAAAAGAACATACTTTTAAAATATAAATTTAGTATTGAGAGAAATTCGTATTTATTGATGTTTATAAAATAATTCATATTTATTATTATTTTATAAACATCAATAAATACGAATTTATCTCAATACTAAATTTATTTTTTAAAAGTTAGTTCTTTTAAAAAATGAATTTGGTATCGAGAGAAATTCGTATTTTATTGATGTTTGTAAAATGATAATTTACATACTCTCATACATATCTACATTTGATAACTGACCAAGCCGATTAAATGTCAATTTAGTTGAATATATATATATATATATATATATATATATATATATATATATATATATATATATATATATATATATATATATATATATATATATATATATATATATATGTTCAACTAAATTGACATTTAATCGGCTTAGTCAGTTTCAAAATGCATTAGTCGATTTTAGTCAATTTTAGTCGATTTTAGAAAATATATTAGTCGATATATTTTCTAAAATCGACTTATTATTTAGAAAATATATTAGAAAATATATTTAGTCGACAGTCGAATTATTTAAAAGTTATAACAATACACTGGCGTAGGAGCACAGATGTGGAAGAAGAACACGATAGCCCCCCAACTTTTCAATAGTTTCAGTTTTTTCCATTTAAATTCTAATTCTGAATGGCTCAGCCGCCCCTCCCTTAATTTTTGTTTAAGCACCCTCCCTCTTTAACTTTCTTGATCTTCCACTGGGCAAACCCCCTTCCCCAATCCCCGCTCCATCAATGAATTTTTCGCTTATTTAGTCGACAAATTTGAACTGATTGTGCGCATTTTTATTACTATTATTTTTGTTAACTGTTGGTATTTTAAAAACGAACAAATTCGCTATGAAATTAAAAAAATATTAGCGTTAAGGCCCAATACACAGCAATTAGAAATTTGTTATATGAGATTATTGTGAACTTCTGAAAAAAAATCAGATCATTAGGTAAAAAATAACAAATATGGTTTCACACGCTTTGAATTTTATGAAATTCAAGTTGCATTTCTCTAGAATTAGGAAGGTTTTTATTCTGAGTAACAAAATACTTATAAAGATCAGCAGAAAGGCTGACTATATTTCTTTCTTCTG